GATTTGGTACAATCCTACCTAATCACTCTTTGAAAAAAAAACAAAAACAAAAAAAAAAACGTAAAAAGATCTCTTGACAAGCCGCTTTTATCACTCCTAAGGTCTTATTAGCACCATTAATGATCCATGATCCACTTATTTTGGTAATTGGTAAAGCAAACCACACAAATAGCTTGAAGAAAAACACCACACCATTTTAACAGGCATCAGATTAGTTGGCCTGGAGGTATGCTTCAACAGCCTTGACCATACGGCTGTCTTTTCTTTTGCCTTGTATAATCAATTCTCTCCGGGACATCAAAGCCAGGTAGGTGTAGAATTTGACAGTGGACTTAAAGATGGATCCTCCGTCAGGAGATGACTCCCCTTGGTCTCATAACTAATTTTCTCGAATTGTTGCCAACATGTCACCTTCCAGAATTGGTATAGGCAGTGCACGAAGTTTTCTTTGTCTAGTGCATCAACCTTTTGCTTCATGTAACTGTCGTCTGCATAACGAAAAACAATCAAGATTTAGTGCTATTTTTTCAAGGATGCAACAATTTTTTACAACAATTTGTGAATTCCTAACCTTCCACAAGGTAACTTTCCTGATGCTTCCAGCCCCTCCATCACCTTCGATGAGTTCGGCACTCTTAATAGCTTGTGACATAATCTTGGGGAAGAGTTGATCAGCGTCAAGGACAGAGGCCTTGAACATCTTGGCTGGGGGGAGGACACTAGCGACCTCAATTTCACCGGTGACAACTCCCGATTACCTTAAAAAGTATAAAGTTTTAAGTAACTGAAAATGAAAAGGAAGAATGAGAAGTGATTACTGATAAGTAAGGAGATTTGATTGGTGGAGATGTTAGAAGTGGAGGTGCTATTTATAGGCCGGGGATTCAGAATTTCATGACACAGAGCTGAATATTTAAATCCCTTATCTTTTTTATCACGTAATCTGGCTTGACTAAGGATATGCCTTGCCAAAAAATTTCCTTGGACCTGATAGAACCTTCTAATATTAACACAACAGATAAACAAAACAAAATATTAGTTCCTTTGTAGAAGTTTTTAAGTAATATAAGTAGAAGCAAATGGAAATCACTGCTGCAAGATAGATTTTACCATTGACAGAAGATTAATTAACTTAAAATTTGTAGAAATTAAAGTGTTAAATGTCCATGAATTCTCGATAAAGTGCACTTAGTGGTGATGGTAAAATTAGTTGATCTTAAACGTAAGAATGGAATAACAATAAAGTCTGGGTAATGTATTTAGCTGTTAGATCAAATACATTATCAGAGCCTATTTGACTTGGTTAGTGTTTTTGATCTTGCATATGGAATGAATCGTGTGAGTTAAAATATAAATTATTGTTGTTTAGAAGTTAAATGTTATTACTGAGCCCTTTCTTATCTGGGATTTGGAGTTTCAAAACAAACGTTCATCGTTCTTCTTCTTGGTTATTGATTTTTCAAAATGAAGCCATGACCATGGAAGCTGTATTATTAGAACAACAATTAATATATTAAAACTGGTCATCACCTACCAGTATAATTGTGACCATGTGCTCATCTTCTCCAACAGTACATTAACCATTATTCAGATATTATATTCAACAGAATGTGAATTATAAAATAAGACATTATTGCAGTCAAGGACTGTGTTCTGCTTTCAAACAAAAAAGTGGGCATATTTTTATTTGCTCTAGGCAACATTCTATTTTAAAACTGGTTTCATTTATGATGGTATTGCTTGCGTGAAATCGCGGCTATATGGTTGATAATACAGCTTCAAAGACTGGCGGTTCTATAATGAACCACTCAACAATAATATATTGACCTGAAAATAACCAAAAAAAATATATATATATTTTAATAATGTAGTCTCTATCTTTACTAAAAAATAAAAATATTGCAGAGACCATTCCTTATGAACAAGAGCTTGCATCTGCATGAGTTTGCACAAGTTTTCTGGTATCTCAAAACTTAAATTGTGAATATTGAAAATTCAGGATGAGGCACCCATCATTTTCAAGTGAGGGCTTGACTAAAGGATAATTATTAGTAAATAGTGATGGCTTGACTGAAGGATAATTATTATTTATTAGAAAATTCATCGTAAACTGAAAACAAGAGACTTTTTTGTTCCAATGAAACAGTTCAAGCCACTTGGTAGTCTTATTAATCACAGTATAAAGAGTAGAAGACATTCTCAGCAGACTAAAATTGACCTTTTTAATAAGCATTAGGATTTGCTGAAAGGTAGGCTTCAATGGCTTTGAACATTCCTGAAGACTTTTATTTCCCGCCCTTGATTTGCTCTTCCTTGATCTCAAAGTCGCCAACGGTGAAGTACTTGCAGATGGATCCACCATCTGGAGAGAGCGCTACCTTGATCTGATGAGTAAATTTCTCGAGTGAACTCATGAATGCATCACCCTCAATCACACTGTATCAGTAGCTGACGTTCTCTTTGTCTAATGCTTCAACTTTATGCTTCACATAATTGAATTGGCTGCCTGCAATTTAGAAAATAATAAACTAGTCAATTTAGTGCTATCATTTTCTGCTATAATATTGAATTATGAAAAAAAATATAGTAGGTATCATAAATTATAATATATGAGTTCAATGTTTTTAATGGCCTGTCGGACAATCTTAGGGATAAGTTTGTCACCATCGAAGACAAAGGCCTTGAACATCTTAGCTGGGCGAGTTTTTTAATGACCTCCATTTCATACGTGAACACACCTTCAAAACTAACTCAAGTGAGGAGGGAGTCCAATCATATATATATATCATAACAGACTACTAAATTGACAATCAAATATATATATCATAACAGTCTACTAAATTGGCGATGCGAGATGTCTAAGTACAACTTCTAACATTTATATTGATTCATCTAATCAAGCGATAGCCATGGAAGCTGCAGCAATATTACAGCAAGAATTAACTAGAGAGTACCACCTACCAGTGTGAATTGAATATTCAACAACATGTGAAATATAAAATAAAAAATTCCGCCCATTCAACTTTGATGTGAATTGAGTATTTTTTTTTTTTTTTTCTACCTTAAATATTCCTTTAAAAAAATATAGTTTTGTTTATAAATAAAGGATGCTTGCCTGAAAAGTGGTTATATAATTTATAATACTTTCTAAGTCCATCCGGTGATGCTATCTTATAGCTGTCAATAAAATAAAGGCCGAACAACTTCCACCTATCCAAAGTTTGGCATAAAGACATATTGATATCCAAAAGATTTAGAAATGGCAAACAAGTATTTTCTGTCATATTCTGTTAGAGATTTCTATCTACTAAAATACAGTATAGTAATTTCATCTACAGTCACAAAATTTTTAAATTTTAAATCTTTTTCTCCGTATCCATTCTCACCCCAAGCCCGTTTGCACAGCCCTCTTGCATCATCAATCGATTTTTTGACCAGATTTAACATTTTTCTACAAAGTTCGATAATAAACAGTGGCACTGACCCTTATTGGCGCGCTTTGGGAATGGAGATCGATGAGTATTCCAGTCTTTTCACCATTTTTTTCTTTTAACAAATGAAAATTCCTAACAGAACATGACGAAAAGTGGGTGTTTGTCATTTCTAAATCTTTTGGGTACCATTTTATCTATATAATAAACTTTAGATATGTGTAAGTTGTTCTCCCTAAAATAAAATAACAAAACAAATATATGATATTATATTAATTATGAATATTTGATAATTCATAACAAGGCAACCATCAACTGAACGTACATGTCAGCTTGACTGAAACCTATCTCATCTTCATTAAATTTGAGGATAGGGATAAAAGATCTTCATAAATCAAGATAACGAAAGAACGAATCTAACAACTTACAACAATAAATTAATACATTAAATAAATTTAAAATTTAAAATTTTTCAATATTAAAAGATGGACGCTCATTCTCTTATTATAGACAGTCGTTCTTATAAGAGGACGGGTGTCTATAAATAATTTAGTCTAATTTTTTTTAGTTTAAATTATGAATAGGCGTCCATTCTAGGTGGACGATCGTCCATATAATATGGACAGGAGTCCATTTCAAATGAACGGTCGTTCAATGACAATGGATGGTCGTCGATATTTGATGGACAGTCGTTCATTCGCGAAATATTTGTTAACGTGATACGTGGCTCGTCTGATTCAATGGACATATTATTCGGTATAAAAATTCAGTGTAAAACGTCGGTATCCTTAGCATTTTTCCCTTAAATATTCCTTTAAAAAAAATATAGTTTTGTTTATAAATAAAGGATGCTTGCGTGAAATGTGGTTATATCATTTATAATACTTTCTAAGTCCATCCGGTGATGCTATATTATTCCTGTCAATAAAATAAAATAACAAAACAAATATATGATATTAAATTAATTATGAATATTTGATAATAATTCAGAACAAGGCAGCCATCAACTGAACGTACGTGACCTTCTCATCTTCATTAAATTTGAGGATAGGGATGAAAGACCTTCACAAATCAAGATAACGATAGATCTTCGCGAATTATGATAATTTACAAAAATATTCATAACATTGAGCTGAAAAGAGTATAAATAAATAGCTTTCCTCTTCAAAGAGATAGTTAAAGACACTTGTATACAAAAAAAAAAAAAATAGAGAAGCAATTCTACTATAAAGAGACTGGCTAATGATTCTCTAAGAACTCTTGTAACCCGTGTGATTGTTCTCATTGTATGTTCCATTGACAATCGAAGAGAGAACTATCTAGTAATATACCTTATTTTAACTTTGAAATTTGTACTTTGTGACGTCAGGTAATATATATTATACGATCAAGAAGAAGATATTTAGACTGAATTTGAGTAAATCGGGGGTGGAGGTTTTATTCAATATTATTGAGTTCCTGGACTTCATTTGCAACTAGGCATCAAGGTATACATTATTTGTATCATTTCTTCATTGTTTTTAACCAGTTCTAAGCTGGTCAAATTTGAACACTTTCATATGTTTAATATATTAATAAACGTACCTACATCAACTTGTATTCAATGAAAATGATACAAACATATTTGACTTTTTAAGTCTTTGTTTTTTGGCGGATTCCTTTGAATACAACAAAAGCAAGGCTTGGTCTAATCCTTACATAATCACTCTTTGAAAAAAATATATATATAATAATACGTAAAAGATCCTACAACAAACCACTTTTGATCATTCCCAAGGGCTTATTAATTAACATTATCATGGCAAAGGGAAATTCGATCAAACAATACTTCGAAGTTCGAATCATGGATCCATCATCCATGATCCACTTATTTTAGGCAATTTGTAGCGCAGGGCACACATAAAACTTGACATATATAAGCAAACACATATAACATCTTAATAGGCATCAGGATTAATTGGCCTGGAGGTATGCTTCAACAGCCTTGACCATGACGGCTGTCTTTTCTTTTGCCTTGTTAATTAAATTCTCTGCTGGAACATCGAAGCCAGGTAAGGTGTAGAATTTGACAGTGGACTTGAAGATGGATCCTCCATCAGGAGATGACACCCACTTGGTCTCATAAGTAATTTTCTCGAATTTGTTAGCTAACATGTCACCTTCAAAGATGGTATAGCAGTGCACGTAGTTTTCTTTGTCTAGTGCATCAACCTTTTGCTTCATGTAAGTGTCGTCTACGTTCCAAAAAAAAAGTCAAGAGTTAGTGCTATTTTTTCAAGGATGCAACAAGTTTTTACGACAATTTAGTGAATTAACTAACCTTCCACAAGGTTAACTTTCCTGATGCTTCCAGCCCCTCCATCTCCTTCGATGAGTTCGGCACTCTTAATAGCTTGTGACATAATCTTGGGGAAGAGTTGATCAGCGTCAAGGACAGAGGCCTTGAACATCTTGGCTGGGGGGAGGACACTAGCGACCTCAATTTCACCGGTGACAACTCCCATGATTACCTTAAAAAGTATAAAAGTTTTAAGTAAGTGAAAATGAAAAGGAAGAATGAGAAGTGATTACTGATAAGTAAGGAGATTTTATTGGTGGAGATGTTAGAAGTGGAGGTGCTATTTATAGGCCGGGGATTCAGAATTTCATGACACAGAGCTGAATATTTAAATCCCTTATCTTTTTTATCACGTAATCTGGCTTGACTAAGGATATGCCTTGCCAAAAAATTTCCTTGGACCTGATAGAACCTTCTAATATTAACACAACAGATAAACAAAACAAAATATTAGTTCCTTTGTAGAAGTTTTTAAGTAATATAACTAGAAGCAAATGGAAATCACTGCTGCAAGATAGATTTTACCATTGACAGAAGATTGATTAACTTAAAATTTGTAGAAATTAAAGTGTTAAATGTCCATGAATTCTCGATAAAGTGCACTTAGTGGTGATGGTAAAATTAGTTGATCTTAAACGTAAGAATGGAATAACAATAAAGTCTGTGTAATGTATTTAGCTGTTAGATCAAATACATTATCAGAGCCTATTTGACTTGGTTAGTGTTTTTGATCTTGCATATGGAATGAATCGTGTGAGTTAAAATATAAATTATTGTTGTTTAGAGGTTAAATGTTATTACTAAGCCCTTTCTTATCTGGGATTTGGAGTTTCAAAACAAACGTTCATCGTTCTTCTTCTTGGTTATTGATTTTTCAAAATGAAGCCATGACCATGGAAGCTGTATTATTAGAACAACAATTAATATATTAAAACTGGTCATCACCTACCAGTATAATTGTGACCATGTGCTCATCTTCTCCAACAGTACATTAACCATTATTCAGATATTATATTCAACAGAATGTGAATTATAAAATAAGACATTATTGCAGTCAAGGACTCTGTTCTGCTTTCAAACAAAAAAGTGGGCATATTTTTATTTGCTCTAGGCAACATTCATTTCTAAAACGTTTCATTATGATGGTATGCTTGCGTGAAATCGCGGCTATATTGATAATACAGTTCAAAGACGCGGTTCATAATGAAACCATCAACAATAATATTGACCTGAAAATAACCAAAAAAAAATTTAATAATGTAGTCTCTATCTTTACTAAAAATAAAAAATTGAGAGACCATTCCTTATGAACAAGAGCTTGCATCTGCATGAGTTTGCACAAGTTTCTGGTATCTCAAAACTTAAATTGTGAATATTGAAAATTCAGGATAGGCACCCATCATTTTCAAGTGAGGGCTTGACTAAAGGATAATATTAGTAAATAGTGATGGCTTGACTGAAGGATAATTATTATTATTAGAAAATTCATCGTAAACTGAAAACAAGAGACTTTTTGTTCCAATGAAACAGTTCAAGCCACTTGGTAGTCTTATTAATCACAGTATAAAGAGTAGAAGACATTCTCAGCAGACAAAATTGACCTTTTTAATAAGCATTAGGATTTGCTAAAGGTAGGCTTCAGGCTTTGAACATTCCTGAAGACTTTTTTTTCCGCCCTTGATTTGCTCTTCTTGATCTCAAAGTCGCCAACGGTGAAGTACTTGCAGATGGATCCACCATCTGGAGAGGGCGCTACCTTGATCTATGAGTAATTTTTCGAGTGAACTCATTAATGCATACCCTCAATCACATGTATCAGAGCTGAATCTCCTTTGTCAATGCTTCAACTTTTAGCTTCACATAATTGAATTGGCTGCCTGCAATTTAGAAAATAATAAACTAGTCATTTAGTGCTATCATTTTCTGCTATAATATTGAATTATGAAAAAAATATAGTAGGTATCATATCTAATATATATATATATATGAGTTCAATGTTTTAATGGCCTGTGGGACAATTAGGGATAGTTGTCACCATCGAGACAAAGGCCTTGAACATCTTAGCTGGGCGAGTTTTTATGACCTCCATTTTATAAGTGAAACACCTTCAAAACTAACTCAGTGAAGAGGAGTCAAATCACATATATCATTATAACAGCTACTAAATTGCAATCGAGATTATAAGTATCACTCTAACATTATATTTATTTTCATCTAACAAGCGATAGCCATGGAAGCTGCAGCAATATTACAGCAAGAATTAACTAGAGAGTACCACCTACCAGTGTGAATTGAATTCAACAACATGTGAATATAAAAAAAAATTCGCCATTCAACTTGATGTGAATTGAGTATTTTTTTTTTCTACCTTAAATATTCCTTTAAAAAAATATAGTTTTGTTATAAATAAAGGATGCTTGCGAAAGTGGTTATATAATTTATAATACTTCTAAGTCCATCCGGTGATGCTATATAGCTTCAAAAAATAAGGCCAGAACACTTCCACCTACCAAAGTTGCATAAAGAATATTGATACCCAAAGATTAAAAATCAAACAAGTTTTCTTCATATTCTGTTAGGGATTTCTATCTTAAATACAGTATAGTAATTTCATCTACATCACAAATTTTTAAATTTTAAATCTTTTCTCTGATCATTCTCACCCAAGCCCGTTTGCACAGCCCTCTTGCATATCAATCGATTTTTTGACGATTACATTTCTCAAAGTTGATATAAACAGTGACAGACCCTTGCTGCGGGTTGGAATGGAGATCGGTGAGTATTCCAGTATTTTCACATTTTTTCTTTTAAATAGAAATATTTACAGAAATGACGAAAAGTGGTTTCATTTTTAAATCTTTTGGTATACTTTATCTATATATAAAATTGTATGTGTAAGTTGCCCCTAAATAAAATAACAAAACAAATATATGATATATTATTATGAATATTTGAATTCAAACAAGGCACCATCAACTGACGTACTGTAACTTGATGAACCTATCTCATCTTCATTAAATTTGAGGATAGGGATAAAGATCTTCAAATCAAGATAACGAAGAACGAATCTAACAACTTACAACAATAAATTAATACATTAAATAAATTTATTTTAAATTTTTCAATATTAAAGATGGAGCTTCATTCTTATATAGACAGTCGTTCATAAGAGGAGGGTCATAAATAATTTAGCAATTTTTTTTAGTTTAAATTATGAATAGCGTCCATTCTAGTAACGATCGTCATATAATATGACAGAGTCCATTTTAAATGAACGGTGTCAGAATAATAAACGATCTCATATTTGATGACAGCGTTCATTACGAAATATTTGTTAACGTGATAATACTCTTCTGATTCATGATACTTATTCGGTATAAAAATTAGTAAAACGGCGGTATCTAGCATTTTTCCCTTAAATTTCCTTTAAAAAAATATAGTTTTGTTTATATAAAGGATGCTTGCGTGAAATGTGGTTATATCATTTATATACTTTCTAAGTCCATCCGGTGATGATATTCTGTTCTCAATAAAATAAAATAACAAAACAAATATATGATATTAAATAATTATGAATTTTGAAAATAATTCAGAACAAGGCAGCATCAAACGACAGCTGTGACCTTCTATCTTCATTAAATTTGAGGATAGGGATGAAAGACCTTCACAATCAAGAAACGATAGATCTCTGAATTATGAAATTACAAAATATTCATAACATTGACTGAAAAGAGTATAAATAAATAGCTTTCCTCTTTGTGATGCTCGATTTTTGCACCAACGAATTTTACGTGTATAATACAATTGACTGTTCGATACACGTGGAAATAGAATATAAGAAAAGTAAATAGCTGTAGAGGGAGTTTTTTAAGTGGTTCGGACGTTAAGATAGCAAGTCTAGTCCACTGGTTTGCTATGATATAGGGGTGTCAGGTCACGGCGCGAGCTGACTTACATCAGACGAAAAAGTCAAAGAAAAGTTTACAAGAGAGAGATTTCTGTTTCTTCTTTTGTATGTAAAATGGCCGAATCCCCTAATGAAGGGGTTTCCCTATTTATACTGAATCGAAGCGTATATCATCAACTAAATCCGTGGTTTGGTGTAATGTCAGTAATAATCTAGCTTTAGTCCCATTTCCCTTTTTCCAAGCTGACATCGGACGACTTGTTGCAGAGAATGGACGCGTGTGGGCCAGCATGCAGTGACGGTGGCATGCTGCTCTGACGGGAGCAGGTCGCCCTCACGTGACTTCCCAGTAGCCCTTTATTTCCTGGGCACAACAGAAGCCTAGTTTTAAGGTTCGAAGGTGGACCTTGGAAACTAAAGTTACGTCGGTGTTTTACTGTGACAATGAGGAGACGGGGAGAGCCGTGAGATGGAGCGCCACCACGGACAATATTCATTAGGAATGGATCTGATGACGCTTCTGTACGGATTCAATGAACTTGGTTTTATGCTGTAGCGATTGCGCGCGTTAAGATTTTGTCAGGACATTAAAGCCAGTGCTGGGACGTGACAGCGTATAGTGGCAGCGAACGGGGTTTTTGCTCTTTTTTTTTGGGTTTTGTGGCTTCTTGCGTGTGAACCGACGACCATTATCGCGTCATTTAATGCGACGTGGGGCGCATTTAATGCGGAGAGAGAGAGTGGGTTGTCGTTTCAGTTCCAAGGGGTGGTAACGTCGATTCGCAACCTCATATAAAACTCACTTTTTGTGAAGCCACCGAAATTTCTTCGCTTCAAGTGGAAAACCTTCGCAAGCCAGGAACACAATTCTTCCGATCGGCGTTTTTCAGGCAATCGAAACGAATTTCGGCACCAACTTCGCGTCTCAGAGAGTAAGGTTGTCTTTTTCCTTTACATATATATTCTCTCTCTTTTTTTTTTGTTTGTGGTGGAACAGTGGCGTGGGTCTCTCGGCGTTTCACGGAGACACGACGCCGTCCTGGATTCGAGGTGGACGGCCGGCTCGAGTCGTTGATAGATTTTTTAGGCGTCCTGTCATTACTCGGGATGACACCAAAGGCTAATAAGACCGTGTCTGTCGATGTTGCAGACGGAATGGAACCGTCCACATCCAGAACCCGAGGAAGGAGCCAGCTCGTCCTCGCGGGAAGTCCCCGAGGACGCAGCCCCGTGTTACTCGGTTCTTACTTCCGAGAGTTTGATAGAATAAAGAAGCAGTACGATATCGCGCAGAGGTGTTCCTCGACCATACCAGATCGTCGCGGGCCCAGACACTGGCCTCGCCGCGATCTCAGAGGAGATCTAAGG